TCTTACATATCTTTGATGACATCTGGAAATTTTCCTTCGTCGTGGCGGGATGCTATTATTGTTCCATTACCTAAACCTGGACGTGATCATACTGATCCCTCTAATTATAGACCAATTTCACTGACTAGCTGCGTTTGCAAAACCATGGAACGCATGATAAACAATCGACTTGTTTGGTACTTGGAAACCAATAACCTTATAACTAATATACAATGTGGTTTCCTAAGAAAGCGTAGAAGGGCCACGGTGAAATTTTTTTTGGGTCACTATCTCCTACGTAGGACTTAATATCTCCTACGTAGGACTTAGTATCTACCTAGGACGTAGGACTTAGTATCTCCTACGTAGGACTTAATATCTCCTACGTAGGACTTAGTATCTCCTACGTAGGACTGAGTATCTCCTACGTAGGACATACTATCTCCTACGTAGGGATTAGTATCTCCTACGTAGGACTTAATATCTCCTACGTAGGACTTAATATCTCCTACGTAGGACTTAATATCTCCTACGTAGGACTTAGTATCTCCTACGTAGGGCTTAGTATCTCCTACGTAGGACTTAATATCTCCTACGTAGGACTTAGTATCTCCTACGTAGGACTTAGTATCTCCTACGTTGGACTTAATATATCCTCTTTAAGGATGGTTATTAAGTTGAGAAATGTTTGGCTATGCAGGACGTTAGATAGTCGAAATGTGAGTCAGTGAATATTCATGACACTAACGCAGTGTTACTGTACAGTGTTATTGTGTGTGTATTTCGTTAGGGTGACGTGGACCCTGTTCTAATTTTCAGTTATGGAGGTTTGGGTATGGTTATGTTTAATCTATCATACATACATCTATTCACACACACACACACACACACACACACACACACACACACACACACACACACACACACACACACACACACACACACACACACACACACACACACACGCACACACACACACACACACACACACACACACAGAGAGAGAGGTGGGTGGGATGGTTGGGATGAGGTTGTGATATGAAACTCGGGTTATAACACGACTTCCGCAAGTTGTTGTTTGTCTTGATGGGGCTAGGTTGGATCGGATGCAACGCTCGTTTGCGGTTTTATTCGTAATTGTTTACAGGTTGACTTGACTGGGGTGTTGAGTGCGGCGTAAAACAATACGAAATTCAAAAAGGCAAAGAATTGTCATTATAGTTATTTGTATAAATATAAGGGGATACGTACACATAGATTGCCACCTATAGTCTATGACACGTCTGTACACGCAGATTATGATTCATGTGCAACGACCTCTGAAATATCCAATGCATAATAGTAAAGTGTAACAAAGTGCAACATATAACAGTGAACTAACTGCAACGCGTAATAGTAGAGCAAACTGAACGCAAGGCAGTAAAGTATAACAGTCTGTCCAACACAGTACTAATGTGCAACAATTAGTTGAACACATGACTCTAATAGTGAAGGAAACGAATCACTGTAGACTCTTACAGTGACTGAAACAGTGAAACAGGAGATTGTGTGAGCGTGTCTGGGGCTTTAAGTCGACCGTTTCAGATTAATCCATATAAACGTATATCGATCAACTCTACAGGAAATATTAAGTACTACGTAGGAGATACTATGTCCTACGTAGGAGATATTAAGTCCTACGTAGGAGATACTAAGTCCTACGTAGGAGATACTAAGTCCTACGTAGGAGATAGTAAGTCCTACGTAGGAGATACTAAGTCCTACGTAGGACTGACTGACTGAGTTTGGTTTTACGCCGCTTTCAGCAATATTCCAGCAACATCACGGCGGAGGACACCAGAAATGGGCTTCACACATTGTGCCCATGTGGGGATTCGAACCCGGGTCTTCGGCGTGACGAGCCAACGTTTTAACCATTAGGCTACCCCACCGCCCCTCCTACGTATGAGATAGTATGTCCTACGTAGGAGATAGTAAGTCCTACGTAGGAGATAGTAAGTCCTACGTAGGAGATACTAAGTCCTACGTAGGAGATACCCACTTAGGATATACTAACTCCTACGTAGGAGATACTAAGTCCTACGTAGGAGATACTATGTCCTACGTAGGAGATACTAAGTCCTACGTAGGAGATACTAAGTCCTACGTAGGAGATACTAAGTCCTACGTAGGACTGACTGACTGACTGAGTTTGGTTTTACGCCGCTTTTAGCAATATTCCAGCAACATCACGGCGGGGGACACCAGAAATGGGCTTCACACATTGTGCCCATGTGGGGATTCGAACCCGGGTCTTCGGCGTGACGAGCCAACGCTTTAACCATTAGGCTACCCCACCGCCCCTCCTACGTAGAAGATAGTAAGTCCTACGTAGGAAATACTAAGTCCTACCTAGGAGATACTATGTCCTACGTAGGAGATACTAAGTCCTACGTAGGAGATATTAAGTCCTACGTAGGAGATATTAAGTACTACGTAGGAGATAGTAAGACCAAACAAAATTTTCAACGTGGCCCTACTACGCTTCCGTAGTTTCCGTAAAAACCGTAGTACCATCGATCGTTTAGTGCGTTTAGAATCTTTTGTGAAAAATGCCATAATTATTAAACAACATGCAGTGTCGATGTTTTCGATTTAGAAAAAGCATACGACACGACATGGAAACATGGGATTTTAAAAGATTTACATGACTTTGGATTACGAGGCCGTTTGCCTCAATTTATATCCAACATTTTAAATGACAGGCAATTTCAAGTCCGAGTGGGTTCAACCCTATCTGACCATTACAATCAGGATCAGGGTGTCCCACAAGGCAGTATTTTGTCTGTCACATTGTTTAGTATCAAGATCAACAGTTTATCAAAGGTGTTAAACGATTCAATTGATGGATCACTTTTTGTGGATGAATTTAATATTACTTGTCACAGTAAAAATATGCATACTATTGAACGGCAATTGCAGTTGTGGTTAAATAAACTAAATAAATGGTGTCTTGAAAACGGCTTTGAATTTTCCAAGTCCAAAACTAATTATCTACACTTTTGTAGAAAATATAAGCCGCATTAAGACCCAGAACTTTCTTTAAATGGCACACCATCAAAGTTGTTAAGGAGGCCAAGTTCTTTGGTCTAATTTTCGACTCCCATTTAACTTTTTTGCCGCATATTAAATCCCTTAAAGCAAAATGCCTGAAGGCCCTTGCTTTGTTGAAAGTTGTATCCAACTCAAAGTGGGGAGGGGATCAAGCTTTCCTCCTCCACATATATCGAGCATTGGTACGCTCGAAACCTCTCCTATTGATAGTCTCTATGTTGAGGCTGATGAGCCATCCCTTAACCAACGTCGTATAAAATTATCATTACAGTATATAACAAAACTCTATTCTAACGAGTCTAATCCTGCATTTAACTGTGTTTTCAATCTTCTTTGTTAGGATTTATACAACAAAAAGTCTTCTCTTGTTCCGCCTCTTGGGCTAAGAATTAAATCATTCATTTCTGCTGCCGGCATTGAGCTAGAAAATATATCTCCTTCCCGTCGTCTTTCTTCTCCTCCTTGGCAATTGGTTAGGCCACAAGTTGACCTAACACTGACAAAGTTTAAAAAATCCGAAACTAACGAATTACAGTATAAACAAGAATATAATCAATTAAAGAATAAATATAATACATACAAATCCTTATTTACAGATGGGTCCAAGGATGGTGGCGCTGTAGCATGTGCCACTGTCATTGGATCCAAAACAATATCTTCTCGACTACCACATAATAGCTCTGTTTTCACAGCAGAAGCTAACGCCATATTAACAGCTCTTAAATATATTAAAAAACACCCTAAATATAAACAATATATAATATTTCCGACTCTCTTTCGTGTTTTCAGGCTATCAAAATCTTTCTTGCAAACATCCACTTTTAATAGAAATAATAGAATTATACAATGAACTTGCTACTGGCCAATATGACATCGTCCTCTGTTGGTTACCCTGCCATGTTGGAATCTCTGGGAACACAATGGCCGATTTTGCTGCTAAGGCAGCACTCAACAAATCTGTGACACCACTTCTCATTCCATATTCGGATTACAAAGCTTCCATTAGATCGTACATCCGTGATCTGATGCAGAAGAAGTGGGACACTCAAGTGGGTATTAACAAATTTCATGAAATAAAGCCGTATATTGGATATACCTACTTGGGTTGTCAGTCCAGATTTGAAGATGTCATCATACGACGATGTCGTATTGGTCACACAAGATATACTCATGAATATCTATTGAAAGGTGGGGATCCTCCGTTTTGTATCCTTTTTGATGAAAGTATCACGATCAAGCATGTCTTGCTTGACTGTGTTGAATATTCCATCACAAGGGATAACTATTTTAAATCACGACCTTTGAAGGATCTTTTTAATAATATCAGGTCTCATTTAATTATTGCATTTTTGAAAGAATTAGATTTGTTAAATGAATTGTAAATACATAAATATTTTATGATTGGAAGTTTAAATTAGTAACTCAAAATTGTTTGTGGCTGTACCCTTAAAGGGGGTTAAAGTATCGTAGAATTTTAAAATTAAACGAGACTTACCTGTAAGGTGAAGTTTGATATAAATTCCACTGACCTATGGAGTACTGAGGGATTAAGTGCGATGTGCGCATGCGCTGTGTCATCAGTCTTTAAAGTAATAATGTGATTCCTTGAAGCCAAGGGTGGGAGCGGAGGGCACTTAATCCCTCAGTATTCCATAGGTCAGTGGAATTTATATCAAACTTCACCTTACAGGTAAGTCTCGTTTAATTTTAAAATTCCACTTCCCTATTCCGTACTTCGGAATTCAGTGAGATATTTAGAGCAGAAATCTCATTATGCACTCAAAAGAAAAAGTTGTAATCTCACAGAATATGTTTATTCATATTAACATGTATAACAGGAACCACAAGCTTTCAAGGTCAGTATACAGTTACATATAACTCAAACTCAAGTACTTAGTCAACATGACTCTAATATGTCTTTACCACAACTTCCTGAGAATATCAGTACTTGTGTACATGTCAACCCAGCCGAGGTTTAGTCAACACTTGACTCTAAGATGGCATCACCAAAACTACCCGTTTGAGAAACAGGCTTGCAATAAAACTTAGCAAATACACAATTACTTTTCCAGCCTGCAGTTTGCAGAATAGTCTTAAGAGGCACTCTGTGTCTACATGCACTGCTTGTGGAGGCTGATCTTATGCTGTGTGGTGCAAACACAGTCATATCAATACCAGCAGTTCTTATGACAGTCTTCACCCATCTGGATATAGTGTCTTTTGATGCTCTTCTGTGTGGCTTAGTCGTGGTAATGAACAAAGCTGTCTGTGCTCCACGAAGTTCCTTTGTTCTTCTCAAATACTGACTCATAGTGTTCACAATACACAGTTCTTGGTCTGGGTAGCTATTGAGTGTGAGCTCAGCTTGATGATACCCAGGTCTGCTTTGTTTTAGCAGATCACCAAATCTAATTTTCACATCACTGTCTGACACATTCACATTCCTACAATCAATAAGATGAAGGGATTGTATTCTCTGTCCTGAAAGAAGCAACAGTAATGTTGCTAACTTCCATGTCAACATTTTCAAGGATTCACTGACATCCAAACTCTTAATGTAATTCAGAACTATTCCTACATCCCATGTAACATTGTAACGTGGCAAAGCTGGTCTGAGATTAAAGATAACTTTCATTAACCTCACCACTTTTGGATGTTGTCCAAACACTATACTATTCTCTAACACTATCACACTAGACAGAGCTGCCCTTGCAGTATGCACAGCTGAATAACTTAAGCCACTCTTATACAGTTCTACCAAAAAATCTAACCCAATCCTTAAAGGGGGTGAAAAGGGATCAGCATCCTTTTGTGTGCAAAACAGCATCCATCTTTGGAGATAACCCCCATACTGTTTGTGTGTGGAATTTCTCCATGACTGCAGAATGATGTCTGTAGCTTGTTCTGAAATTCCTTCACTTTGTACTGCTTCCCTGATAACTTGACGGCTGCTAGTCTCAGCTTTTTGTACAGGGGATGTCTGGCTGTTGGACTGTTGCTCAAGGTAAGAAGGTCTGGTGATCTTGGTAGTATCCTTGGGCAGTCGGTCAGTAATTGCAGTACTTTGCTGAACCAGGGTTGTGTTGTCCAGATTGGAATCACCATCAGTACATCGGCTTCTTCTCCCTGAATCTTCCGTAGGACTCGCCCGATAACACTAAAAGGACAAAACACGTAATCATATGAATGTCCCCAAAACATTGAAAAAAGCATCCACTGCTTCAGCTTCTGGATCAGGGTACCATGACACATAACGGCTAAGTTGTCTATTTAGTCTAGAGGCAAATAAATCACGAGATGGTATGTCAAAGAAGCATGTTAGTCTTCCAAACACAGAGGAGTCTAATTTCCATTCCTTATCATCAGTGGCATTTCTTGACTGCCAGTCAGCTTCAGTATTGCTCAACCCAGGGAGGTGAGCCGCTGAGATCCATAAGTCTCGTGTCATACACCATTTCCACAACTTCCTTGTGATATCATTACAAGCAGACTTTGTGCCCCCCATGTTATTAACATAGGCAACCACTATGGTATTGTCTAGTAGTAACCTGATGTGTGTGTTAACACGAACAGAACAGAGCGCCTGAAGGACAAGCCAACCTGCATGCAATTCAAGCACATTAATATGGCTCTCCTGTTCTTCACTTGACCACAGTCCCCTAGTTTTCCTATCATCCTTGTTTTCTTCCTGCAATACTCCTCCCCAACCAGTCTGAGAAGCATCTGATTTTATCACCAAAGTTGGCTGGTTCTCTTCTAATGATCGGGGATATTTACCTACATTATCTATCCACCATTGTAAGTCACTAACACAATCATCATCCAATGTCACGGGGCCATCATAGTCCCCTCTTGAGAATTGTAATGCTCTATTTTTGACTATCTCCAAATGCTTGTAAAATAGAGGTGCATACCTTACACCATGTCCACTCGCATTTAATTGTCCTATCAGAGCAGCCATCTCTCTAATAGACAATTTTTTCTTCTCAGGAAGTTCAAACACAAATTCCTAATTTTCTCTACTTTCTCACTTGTAAGGTTCACGGTCATTTCCGAACTATAAATATCAAACCCCAAATAAGTGATGCGTTTCACTGGTTGGAATATTGACTTCTCAGGATGAATAGTAAAACCTAAACTGTCAAGGGTGTCTACTGTTTCATGCACATTTTCACTGCAGTGTTCTTTTGTGTCCCCTACCAGTAAAGAGTCATCAATATAAGAGGTGTTTGAATATCCTTTCTTTCTTAGAGCTGAGAACACTGGTTTTAGCACTTGTGTGAAAATTCCATTGGGGAGACAAGTGAATTGGTATAACACACTATTCCAATAGAAACGTAGATATTTCCTATCTTTTTCACAAACTGGCACAGAGAAGTAAGCATCCTTGAGATCAATAGATGAAAAATAGCAGTCTTTTTGCACAAGATACAAAGCAGTCTTAAAAGTGTCCATTTTGAAGTGTGGTGACACAATATTTCCATTCAATGGTCTTAGATTTAAAATGATTCGCATGGATTTGTCCTTTTTTGTTCTGGAAAATATGTTGCAGATGTACTCATTTTCTTCATGCTCACACTTTTCAATTACTTCCTTTTCAAAAAGGCTGGCAACTTCCCTGTCTACTTGTTTCCACTCATCCCCCTTAAATAAGATGGGTGTAGGGACAGATGTTTGTTGTGGTATTGACGTGAAGTCAATGTTAGCGCCTTTAACACATGATAGCGTCCAAGGGTCTGACGTGATTGACTGCCAGTTCTCATAATGCAAGGCAATCTTCCCTGCCTTATAATTGTCAGGAGTGTTCAAGGTCAACATATTTAACTCATTCCCAACAATGTGGCTCACCTGTTCATATGGACTTGAGGAAGTTATTGTTTCTGCAGGTCGTGTCTTGTGCCGGATGACCGCTTGCCTAAAAAACCACCCTGTCTGTAAGTGCCCTGTGTAGGGGTTGATCTTCCCCGTTCGGTAGTCCCATAATGGGAACCTCTTCCTTTCACTGGGTAGCCTTTCTTGTGACCCCTGAAAGAACTATCATAGGGCTTATATCTGTTGCCAAAACCTCCTCTAAAGGACCGCTGAAAACCTCCTTTGGGTGCTTTGTCACCATGTAACTTCCTGCTTAATTCTTTTGATTCATTATGTCTTTAATGTTCTTTGAGAGCTCATCCCCAAAGAGCTTTGTCGTGGTAGCTATCCCACTGGCACACAATCTCTTGTATGGGCCTTGTAAGTCGGGCTTGAAGTTCTCTCGCCGTTTCACATTTATATCTGTGTGGACTCCCATCAGCAGGCGAAGGGAATCTTTAGTTTGGGCCAAAAGTTCTTTAGGATTAACACCTTGTATTTGCATAACAGCATTCATTAACGTGTTCACGATCTTCACAAGGGGAATTGCAGTTTTTACCAGCAAACCTTGTGTCTGTTGCAGTTTCAGATCACGACCTCTAGTGTGAGGCCTTGCCTCATTCCAAATTTCCTCATTAACACGAGGAACTACCAAGAGTTCTGTATTTCTCGGCCTCTTGTATTTTTCCATCAAAGGTTTGAGTTTCTCCATATTTGGGCTCTTTGCTAAACCATCATTGAGGGATTTTGCAAGCTCAGGGAGTATCTCGGCCCCCGTTTCATCTTCTTCGTCAAAGAACTCTCTCATGTCAGCCATTAGACTGTCAATGTCGATACAGTCGTCGTTATCATGTTGCTCTTTCTCCTTGGAGACACCTGCATTCATGCAATTTGTCACAAGCATGTCCATATCATCAACATCGCTTTCACTGTCGCCTTCCTGCGAGCTATCATGGGCGCCGCCATCTTGCAGACGTTCGGAAGTGCTCGGCTGATTCCGTGAATCTCCGCCTGAAGCCAGTCGACTGCTAATCAGATCAAGCACTGACCCAATTTCCTCCATGGTCTGTGACTGCTCTGCCTGGCCCTCAGCGAGCCGCTTTAGTGCCTTCTCCACCCCGCCGGCCTCCCCCTTGGGAAGTTTTCCGCCAGCTTTAGGTAGCTCATTCTTATGTCTGTTTCTTCCCTTGGAAGAGTTTGTAGACTTTCCTCCTTTGGAGGTCGTGTCTGTATCTGTGGGAACCTCCATGAGATTGTCCACATAATCAAACAGTCCGACTTTGTCGACTTCAGGTTCAATGACCTGTTCGTTGGTCACACTCGGTGCCAGCGCCATTTTGGCTGACCACGACCCTTGGTCGTCTGGGTCACAACAATCTGGGATAACAAGTTCAGTCACCTCAGAATCCAGGTATAGACGTCCCGAATCTCGAAAGTCACTCCAATAACAGCACTTGTCAACGTCCGTTTCTCGAAAGAACTCCGAAAGCTTGCAATAAGAGCGGAAATTAACGGAGCTAATGCACAAACTAATAAGACTGATTAACAACTCAAGCGTACTGATGACACAGCGCATGCGCACATCTCACTGAATTCCGAAGTACGGAATAGGGAAGTGGAATTATTGTCCTCCTGAGAGGGTACGTTAGTCCCAGAACATTTTATCTAAATTTTTAAGTCTACCACGTTTTTAATCGTAGTATTTATGTCATTTTAATGTATTATTATTATTATTATAGGATATTTATATAGCGCACATATCCACGCACTAGTGCATGCTCAAGGCGCTGGTATTTTTTCCCTCGATCATTGGATGTCAATCTCAACATAGCTTTATCAATCTCAACTCCCTGGGGAGTATACAACTCTTGCAGCCACTAGGCGCACCGAGTTATTGTGGCTTTCTCATCCTAACGAGGTACCCATTCACAGCTGGGTGGACTGGGACACATAGTCACAGTACTTTGTCCATGTTCACTGCACGTTGCTGTACCCGCAACTAGGTGTTTGCACGTATTCATGTGGCCACCATCTGGTCAAATACCAACGGATTCGTGGGTTCTTTTAAGTGCACAGGGTTGTGTACTGTACACTAGGGGTTGTGACAACACTGAAAGAGTCTGCACACAAAGTTGACTCCAAGGTTTTTACACCCGGTCACAGGTGGGCTCGATCCCGACACCTCAACCTCGTTGGATTACTAGCCTTGCGCCTTAGCCAGCTCGCCCACCACGCCCCATGTATGGCTAAATCTCAGCATAAACGCCAACGCCAAGAGATGGTGAAAATCCAGCTAGGGTCTATGCAGGTAGCATAGTTCCCATGGACCCTAGTATGGTGATCTACCTTCAGTTGTTGGCGATAAATAGCCCATTTTACATTGTATTGTCCAAATATAGTTTTCTTTTTTTTTTAAGAGATATATGCTAGTTAGTTTTAAATAATTTTGTGATAATCTAGTACTTTTACTGTCCTTCGTTGACAGTGTTTTATATATGATATGTATGTATTCTGCATTTACAACAAGTTTTAGTCACGATATGGCTGAAATATTGCCGATGTGACTTTAAATCTTAACTCACTCACTCATTCACGAATCTTAATCGGTAAATGCCGAGACGACAAATGTGTGTTTTGTCACCCTTAAAAGCACTTCTTCAAACATACGTATGTTAGCTTGGCACATGGGAATCGAGAGAACATGTAGTTTGCCAATTACCCACTATTTAGATGATTAAAATAAACTATGCATATGTACATTGTACGTTGAGTAATGTTGAAATATCGACGCGAATGTGCCTTCATAAAGTCATTGTTGAATAGTCGGTGATGCGTAATGCCTAGTTTCAGAGAATGTCTGTTCATAACTTACACCTAACCTTACGAGATGCGATGTAAATTGTATTTAAAATGAGAAGAGGAAACATAGATATTACTCCAGCAAATGTATACAATATCAACAAAACTACAATAAAATGTTTACCTTTATTAAACCAAAAGTTAAATTACATGTAAGTGTCTGCGGTGCTTATTTAGTAAGTGACATTTCGACAAATGGGTGTCCGCACCCTAACCTTTAGCAGCTCTAAAAAGCTGTTTGTTAGATCTGGCAACAGTGCTAATGACTAACATGAAATGAAGTGTGACTCATATGTATCATGAAATGCATGTAAGTTGCAAATAACTGACTATGTGGATAATTAAACATGTACATTGTAAGCTGAATAATGTTGAAATATCGACGCGATTCCCGATAACTACTATTCACTCCGGAGTCTCAAGAATGGAAAGGACCTTGAATTAGCGTTAATTTGTTTGCATCAGCTTATGTTACATTATATTACCCTCATGAACGGTTCAAACTCGATTATGTATGTGACTACCTGAAATAGCAGCAGTATCATAGGATGTGGCGTAAAACACCCTATCGTCACATCATTGATTTAAATATATGTTTGCCTAAACGTTGTCGTACCCAAGCTTCAGTGTTAAACGCGGTCACAATCATGTGTGGCACACGTTAATGATCGGGGAAATACCCCTTTTGGTTCAAGTTAACAAGTTCATATGCACTTAATGGACGTCCTCAGACACAAATATGTTTTTGTATTGGACAAACATGTATGTGCACCAATTTATACCCTTGAAAAAGACAACATTCCATAAACTAAAACGTTTTACCATTTGTAAATGAAACCTTTCTATGTAGCACGTCAAAAAGAACAAAATATGAACTAAATAAACATAATACATGGTAATTCTATATAGCACGCAACAATATAACAATATTTAAATAGTACGACTGTGTTATTGTCTCGCAACGTCCCCTTTGTACCTCACAATATCTCAAAATGTAAATGTGATTGCGTGTACGGGCATATCAGAATTTACAGAGGTATCTCACAGACAGCTCTACTTCCCTGGGTGCACCTTCTGTTTGACAATTCACCATGGTATAATTTAACACAGATCTGGTCTGCCTTTTCACTGGGTTGGTTAGAGCCCCACTTCCAGACGTAAGTAGACCCATCCAGCCAGGTAAACACGTTGTTTTCAAGTCTCTGCATTCCAACCCAGAGAGTTCCTGGTACATCATCTGCAAGGATAAAAATATCGGTGAGCATATGGGCCACCTCTGCCACCAATAACCGAAGCGAGGAAATATTATTGAAGGAGTATTGATGAATAAAGTATGTACCATACATTTCGGGCCTGAATACCCGTGCCAGGTATGTCTTCCATTTTAGACTATGACTGTAAGCACCTTCTTGGCCTACAGTTGTGAGTGTTTTCCCTTTTGGTACTTCCCTTTTGTCACAGGTTCAACACTGTTAACCGAAGGACGATTCACACTAACCATGCCTCTGGAGTGACGCCATGAACTCCTGCTTCTCCTGGCTGTTAAGGACGACAAGGCGGCCGCCTTCACTTTGACACAGAGAAGTCAGGATCCACGAGGAGCCGCCTTCTGGAGTTATCTTGTAACACAACCGGGGAGACACGACGGACGTGTACCCCAAAGATACAGGACATGGGTCTGGATCAGGAAGCGCTGAAAGTGAATAGGTTCGTTTCTATATCGTGTTTGTTTGTTTTTCATGTGTGTAAAAGAACACTTCAGATGTTCGCTAAGAGGTGTTACTTAATGTAGGCTTTACTCCAGAATCTCTGGTGTACAGCGTGTTCCACCAGTAAATACAATCGATGACATGTATAAAGTGGTCACACGATCAGAACGTATTTAAGTGAATCCTTTCACTGTCTGGATTAAAATCGATTAAAAATCCAAAATTAAAACAATGTATCTGTCATTATTACTCAGACTATCCAAATATTTCTGTTTCCAGGGTAACACATTTAACTGATATACGTGTAAGCATTTTATGGTGATACACATTTAGCAAACTGACAGCAGTGGTCGTAGCTGTATTACGCAGTATTGCAAATACACAAAACTTTATTGCTGGCCGTTTTGAAGCCACTGTCTCCTGGGGACGATTGCCAGTAATTGCACATAAGTACCTTAAATCCACCAGGGATTTAAGTCCGTAATGGCTTAGAGTGTGTTCAGTGTATATATTTGAAATATGATGAGCTTACCTCCTGCCTTGATGAAGTGCTTGGATCCAGGAACAGATTCCCCAGAGGACGTGAGAGAAGATCTGTACATGCTGCACGTGCCATTGTGGTAGGTGAGAGCTGTACAGAGTTCGTCCCGGGCACAGAGACCAATACAGGTCTCTTGATGAAGAAGCGCCTGTGTCCTCCAAGAATATTCTCTTGCCATTACATTGTCTAGTGTCACCTGTCTGTCAAAGCGTTGCCAGTAACTGCAATTTCCTGCATACACGACTTCGATGAATGTAATGACCAGACACAGCCCAACGTTCATCTTGCTTCGGTGGGATGCGGCACCTACTGTGATATGTATTGACATCTGCTGCCAATGTAATTAGATATGTACGATATTATTCCGGTTCATTCACAATAGAACTGTGTTGTCTCCAAAACGTTTCTGAATAATTCAAACACAGTGCAATTTGTTCAAACACTTCGAATTGATATGGAATGCTTATCATTGTTAAATCACAATGGAATACACGTTCCATGAACTGGAAATGTATTGTTCAACCTGTAGATTAAGGAAGCTACCTAAAAACTGTTAAGCCCTTTATGCCTCATAAGCAACGGTCGGTTTTTCAGTCCTGTTGTCGTCCAGTATTTACCTTTCTTCTGTCATTTTCCTCTTTGGGTAAATCATGAACCATGTTTACCAATCAACTTATTCAACATTGCCCGAAGACACTAGTCAGTGTTAAAGTCACCTGCATCACATGTTAAAACTTTTCGTTACCTCCCCACACTGAATGATTACTTGGAATGTTTTGCAGACCATTGTGACGTCACAATCACATGCTATCTCCCATCTTTCTGCGTCTGAAACTATTGAACTTCATTTTCTACAAGCAAAACATACGTTTACAAACCAACGTGTGTCTCATCCCTTATCGATAACAGCGTTAGACTACTTACATTGGTATATTTGACATTGATTAAGATAATTGGAAACACCTTTGCTCCCTGTTATTTATGCATTACAAAGTGCAAGGAATCATTAACCAACAGCAATCACATGCATGAGTAACCTCAACCTGTGCACAGAAACACGTGGCACCAGGAAGACGCTCCCTGTCGTCTCTCAAATCATCGACCAGGTGACCTTAGCACTAAACTTAAATCCCATGAAGGATGAGGACTATTTTTATGGATATACAACTTCTTTATTCTGTATAGGCGACGTTTCGACATAGATTCTAATGTCGTTGTCAAGCACTTGCTTGACAACGACATGAGAATCTATGTCGAAACGTCGCCTCATCCTTCATCTACCCAATTTCTAGAATGCCAATCAAAGAAACTTAAATCCCATGTACAACAAATACTGATCCTAATTTCAATTTACCATGTTTGGAAGGTTAGGTCTGTCAGCACCCGTGGGATTAGCTAAAGTGTACAATAACTGAGACCTGCATTACTTAGGCTTTAATCTCACATTAGGTAAGTGTGCCTAGATTGGAATAGAAAAATGGCAAGTATCTTTTAATCCCAATAAGATAGAGTCAATGCGCAACCAACTCCAATGTCGAATCTAACAATGAATGGTAATATCATTAATTCCGTTCAAAGCTTTAAACATTTAGATCTTATACGTCAGCATGATTGCTCTAGGGGATAGTTGTACCATACAGCCAGCAGATATACTTGAAAAGCTCAGTTTTGATGCTCTAATAACCTATACCTATAAGAAACTTGACTAATTGTCACCCGTCGTGTCGTAGAAGATACGTTCATAAAATGACTTTGCTTTACAAAATGGTCAATAACACTAAGCCAAGTTATCTTAGGAACCTGTAACCACAGCGATGTTAGAATCGATGATTCAAATCTTCAGACTGTAAATCTGTAAATTATGCGAGGTCCTTTCTTCAAGATACTGTTAAATTATGGAATTCATTACCGGCCGAACATAAAGAATCGCCGTGCCTATCGAGATTAATAAAAATGTAATTTTAATCGATTCTAACAGCTTCGCTCATTCTGACTTAAATTTAGGTTGCAGATTATGTCAAATAATACATAGTTTTAAACAATATTTATTCTTGTACTCAAGTCATGTACAGTGGAATTCAGAAACAGGGTTACCCCTATATTAATATCTCTCCCCAAATGAATACATATTAAACAGGATATTTACATGATAAATTATTATACATTCATGTAGAAGAAACACTGTGACATATTATCACGTAAAACATTTGCTTAGTGATATAAACTAATGAACAGATCGAAATATTTGTGTATTGACATGATTAGATAGGTTCTTATTGTCAAATATTAGTGTGACCATTTTCATGGAAGTAGCTTACATGACCAATATCTGCATAATTTGCCCATATAAATAGGTGATGATGTGCATCCTCATGCGCATGACCACACGAACATCGTGAACCATTGGCAATAAATCTATCTAGTTTATGACCATTTGAGTTGCTGCATCCCAATCTAATACGACAATGTAAAATATGGTTATTTCTCAATCCCTATAATCATACATCATAGATCGTAGAGATCTTAATGCGCACAATTATGAAATCTCCAACATCATCTTGCTCTTGTGGTCATAACTATGAAGACTGTGTTCATTATTTCCAAATTTTGTATTGTTATACTAAGGGTTTGACCTAAAATCATTTTTGTTTGGAAACCAAAACTGTTCCTCAATAGTAAACAAAGAACCTTTAATTTTAGTTCACTCGTTTTATATTCCAAATTGATCCCAAATAATTTGTTTATATGACATATACTGTTGAACAATGACTTGCGTTATTTCTCGTTTTTTTGCAACATTTATATCATATCATTCACATTGTACATTCATCATGACATGTTTACTCATCTATTGTATCCCCGGAACGGTATTCATGTAAGCGTGTGCTTGTTTACCAATCCGGTTCCTTTCATTGGAAACAAATATGTTTAAATCAGATTGGAAAATTTGAAATTCACGGACTCCTTCTGGTGGTTGATGTTTTGTATTTCTTTAGCACTTCGCAAGTTTATACGTGTTTTCTATATACGTTGCAATTAATTAGTTTCACCATGCTCACGCTGTCAGAGAATAGCGCTTAGGACCCCGTTGTCTAGCATTCAGGACCACCCTCGGCAAACGTCATGGCTAAATACATTAAACATGACACTTATTGTTTCCCTGCCTCGCGCTTATCGTTAAGGAGTTAGGCACAATGTCAATGCTGGTCCGTTTCAATACACATGCTGGTGCCTTTATTCAGCAAGTGATCAGCTAGTTAATGGTTATCTAGCTAAGAACTGCATATACTGGGATGAACAAACACAATGTGAACAAATAACCATGAAAAACAGCTGATAGGAGTGACGTTTGGAAGAGTGATGATAGTTTTAAGGACGATGCTTGTAACACAAACCGTGTGTGGTTACAATGTGTTGTTATAGTGTGTCGTTATAGTGTGTAGTTTCAGTGTGTTGTAATAGTGTGTAGTTACAGCACGTTGTTATAGCGTGTCGTTACAGTGTGTGGTTGCAATGATATGAGTTTATTAACAGTATACGAGATACAGCGTATAACATAATGAAACCCCTGAAATATATAATATACATGTGACTAAAGAAAACGTAATCGTAATATATATCCTAAGAATACATATTTTGCAGGCAGTGATAGTACATCTACATTTTAGATGCAATCAATTTTTGAAATTTTATTTGTGAAGGAAATGTATAGTAATATGCCGGAATAATAGAGTATCTAACACCATCATAAAATTGACATACTAAACAAAAGTGATATTCTCATTCTATGTGCCTAACTACACACAAAGGACACAACGTGTATTTTTTACTTAAACTTGTTTTCCCACCTTTTTTCATTAATACCTTATGACTAGAGCAGCGGAGAGATGAAAGGGAAACACGATAAACTTTCACAGGTGGTTTAAACATAGCTTACTACATTCAAAAAGAAAGAAACAGATTGGCAGACAAGCCTAAATGGCTTATATCAATGCCGCTCCATAATACATGTGGAGGTTCACATTTATGCGTAATGTTGTAAATAATAGGTGTAACAAGTTATGTCTGAATCTCTGTGGCTATAGCTAGTGGTTAAAGCGTTCGCTCGTCACGCCGATGACCCGGGTTCGATTCCCCACATGGGTACAATGTGTGAAGCCAATTTCCGGTGTCCCCCGCCGTGATATTGCTGGAATATTGCTGATAGCGGCGTAAAACTAAAGTCAGTCACTGTGGCTATAGTGTTGCAGTATGCTGTTACAGAGTGTTGTGATGTATTCTAAAACAGTTTTCATTTTTTTTCAAATGAGAGACATTTCCATCACTTCAACGCTAAGACGTCTGATTGAGAGTTTGCCAGGTTTGCACAATGTGTCTTTGCAACCATGATTTTGTTCGTGTTTTACTTGAAAGTTCGACCAATTTAAAGGTTAATAAATTTGTCATAACAGTATTCCACTGTGCGTTGTCTTGGTGACAGAAGGAAGCCTCAAAATGTACATGTTGTAGGGTTAAGTGAGTGAGTGAGTCGCATTCATTTCAGCCATATCAATCAATCTTTATTCACTACTCAAAGACTCCAGGCCTATAGTACAATATATAGTAGTACAATATAGAACAGTTTTATCTATGATATTGTTATTATGTTTTCATACAGTTATGACGTTCAGACGATGCCTCAAATTGTTGTAGGTCTAAGACGTTTACCGCTTTGGTGAAATCCACGAGCACAGGTGGGGTAGTGACAAACAAACCTCGGGTTCGAATTCACGATCGGAGGTTTCGGATTGAGTTGAGTTGATTTGGGCTTCACGTCACACGAGCAATATTCCAGCCATATATTGACGAGATCAAGTCTGAATTCACAAACATTTTAAATCCAAAGTCCAAATGAGTTTTATGTTAAAACATATATAGTCATTACATTAGTATTTAAAAACAGAAAATGTCATAGCACTAAATTCAAAAGCAAGCTAATTGGTCATTCACATTAAATAGTTACAATTTACGATACAGGGCCCCGTTCCACAAAGCGATCGTAGCGCTAAGACTGTCGTCAGTCTATGTTAAAGTATGGGAGTTACGACTGTCGTAGCGCTACGATCGCTTTGAGGAACGGGGCCCAGGTCAACTTCCCTCGGGTAGTTAACAATGAGATGGCTGCTCACGCGGGAAAACAGACCTTTCAGGTTTCTCGCATCATAATGTGAGTCCCTTGCAGCTGAATAGTCCGCACAGTCAAGCAGTATATGCTTGATGGTGAACACTTTATGGCAAGAGACACACATGGGAAGTCCATCCCCATCCGTTTTCAGCAAAGAGTCGTGAATA